TTTATTTATTTATTTAGCTTACACGTTGGATGGCATCGACATTCGCGGCTACACTTATTGGTCTCTTATGGACAATCTGGAATGGGCGGAAGGATATGCATCAAGATTCGGTTTATATTATGTTGACTTCAAAAACCCAAAGAGACCAAGATTACCCAAGGAATCAGCGTCAGTTTACGCCAAAGTCATTAGAAACAACGGCTTCCCTGAACCTGCGTCCGGAATGTTATGGTAGTAGTTTATGCGATCCAGATTTTTTTGAAAAAAAAAAACAACAAAACAATTATAGTAATTTTGCTAGAAAGAAGGAGCTGAATTGGATCGTTAGTTCTCTGGTTTGAATGTTGGTCACCATGGCGACATGGCATGAATTGCAGTCTGTGTATTATGAATTTTTGTTTTTCTGTTAACTGTAATACTCCAACTTGTATAGTGTGAGGCACACTAAACAAACTTGTATAGTGTGAGGCACACTAAACATTCATGGCTGGCCGAGTGATTACGATTCCCCTTATTGAATCTGATACTGTTATATAGTGTTATATCCGACTTTGGCTCCATGTGTGTCTAGTCAGAACTGGGGGTAAATTTGTCACAGCTCCCCAAACTTACCCTTCTCCCGAGTTAACAAGAAAATGAAATTTGACGGAGGATACATTGACAAAAACGTGCATTCATATAATGTGTGTTTTGTGTGAGATAAAGCCAAAACTTTGAAAAACCAATATAACCCCCATTTCTTATGTCAGTTTCAAATTCTAAATACAGAAAGTTGGTCGAATATTGATTACAATGCACAATGTACAAAGCCATGGTAACCGTTGCGTGGCAATTATGTCTGATTTCCTCTAATAATCTATAAATAAAATAGTTCATTGTTAATAGATGACAAATTGGTTTCCTTGGCAACTTTAGACTTAGTTTGCCCAAAAAAAAATGCTCACCATAATTTCGACGCGCCTTTTGAATGAGTAGCGCCGGTGTACATCAAATTATTATTGTTATTACAGTGCTTAATTCAAATTATTCATTCAATCAAATGGTTTTGTCCTGTTATTTACGTATCTGGGACGTGTATGTGTATATATGTGACATGTGATATTATGTCTGACGTGTCATCAGCCTGTTGTACCAAACCATGTTCTGTTACATGTGTCGTGTACCGGGACTGATTACATTGCATGTCGGATTACGCCGCCATGTTGTATTTTGACGCGGTCCACACGGGACAATAAAAACAAAAATGAAAAATGTCAAAGCTAATAGCCTTTTCACATTTCCTATCCAATTTGATGATTTTATTTCATTCTTTGTTTTTGTTTACGTTTTTTTCTCTGAAGCAATTTTTTTCTGTCGGAAAACGACACACAGATTTGTTATTAGGGACATGTCAAACGATATTTACTAGGGTGAAAATATTTGTACACAATTCTAGGGGATTACAACTAATGTATTGATCCTACACCGCCCATGTATTCAGTTAGACCGTTTTAATGGATAATAGTAGATAATCACGTCTGTAATGAACTGGTCGATGGTACCGACTCATATTTTACAGGTTGACCGTTAGAAACTCTGGCGGTGAATTTGGGGGAAAACATACTTGCCATCAAAGCGGAAACCACGCATATATACAGTACCTTTATTTTGAAGACAACATTTCGCAGTTTTTTCTACTTTCTTTCTTCACAGAGTTTATAATGGCCAACCTCCAAGTGACAAAATTAAAAAAATGTAAATTTGCGTATATTTCCAGTCTGACGATCGTTCAGATTAACTGTAGAATACTTTATTTCCGTGGCTTAGAAGTTATTTTCGCTGAATCAGTGAAAATAGATTCCAGCGAATAAATATTTTTTCCTATAATCAGTGAAAATAAATCCCATACAAAACACCCAAAAAGTCTTTTCAGCGAAAATTAATTCCAGCTGAAATAAAGTATTTTACAGTGTAGTATTTATCGGTGCAGGTGTCTTAAAAGGTACAAAGTTAGTTGGTGAAAAAGGTGGTTTCAACGCAATGTATGTTTTGTGCCGAAATGTGTGGCCTTTCTTTGTGTTTTGAAATAAAATAAAATATAATTATTAAGATTACCTGTTTTATTTTTATTTGTTAGTAAATAATCATACAATTTCATATCATATATCATATGCAACGGAAAACTTACGTACGAGAAGTTGTAATAAAGCCACTACTCTACTCTGCTTTGCTCGATATCGTTCGAAATAAGGTCCGTTAAATTGGACAAGGTGTTTTTCTAAAATCTGAAAGCCTCACATTTTATTTTAGGGTTAGTCAGATTATGTGTTTAAGGCAATAATGGGTAGTGTTTAGAGCAATATTGGGTAGTGTTTAGGGCATAGTATTTTGGGGCAATAATAGGTACTGTTTAGGACAATAACGGGTAGTATTTGGGACAATAATGGGCAGTGTTTAGGACCAATAATGGACAGTGTTTAGGGGAATTATGGATAGTGTTTAGGGTAATACTGTAGTATTTGGGTAATAATGGGTAGTGTTTAGGATAATATTGTAGTATTTGGGTAATAATGGGTAGTGTTTAGGATAATATTGTAGTATTTGGGTAATAATGGGTAGTGTTTGGGACCAGTAATGGGTAGTGTTTGGGGGCAATAATGGGCAGTGTTTAGGGCAATAATGGGTAGTGTTTAGAGCAATATTGGGTAGTGTTTAGGGCAATAATGGGTAGTGTTTAGGGCAATAATGGGTAGTGTTTAGGGCAATAATGGGTAGTGTTTAGGGCAATAATGGGCAGTGTTTAGGGCAATAATGGGTAGTGTTTAGGGCAATATTGGGTAGTGTTTGGGGGCAATAATGGGTAGTGTTTAGGGCAATAATGGGCAGTGTTTAGGGCAATGATATAGAATTTGGGTAATAATGGGTAGTGTTTAGGCCAATAACATATTACCTTGAACGTCGTTGGTCATAGTGATCTGACACAGCTGCGGCCATTTTTTATTTTGTTTCAAACAGTACTGTGTTCCATACATGTGCGAAATTTCACTGATACTGGCCACCCGAAAATGTAATGAATTGTCACTGACAGCTCATTGACAATTGCCGCCGTAGATTCATGTAGCGATATTGTGCCAAATGCAATCATACAGATTCGGTACTCGCCCACGTGTCACTATATTTTATTCCAGGGGACCCAGTGGTGTATATGATGATAAGATACACCTAACAATACATGTCGAATATTGGCATACAAGAATGTCACACGCACCAAATTGGTAAAAAAAATGTATATTTTAACATATTAAAACATAATGTAGTCACACTCATGAATATATTATATAATAAATAAAAATGACCCTCACCGACACGGGGCACATATTAATTCATCACATGTAGGGCATTAGAGAAGTAGAAATAAAAAAAAAGTCTGTGCACTGCACGAACGTAGGGACAATGTGCTATCATTTTGTCACACTGTGGTGTGCATTCAACAATTTACAACGTGTCCACGTCTAGATTTTCAAATACGATATACTATTCAATAATTTCAACGACAACACAACGACATAATATTATAAATGTTGGTATAGAAGAACTTTAATACATCTCGCCTTATTTCAATGACAGTGTGTTTACTGTACTTACGGAGTCTTCTGACACCTCTACCGGTATTTTAGTTGCTTGATATTTTTTCTATTTTTTTTTTATAAATTCGGATGGAGATAAATTAAGTGAGAAAGAAGAAGTCGGGGTCTATTTTGATAACTGTTTGGTTATCGTTATTTTCCGTTTGTTTTATTGTTCCAACCTTAAAGTTTAATTAATACGTGTTATGGCGATAAACATACGCGGTGATGGCTTGATAATAATAATATCCTAAAATGAAACTCGTACTTTGACCACCATTGCTACTATGAATATATCCTTGTACAGGGGCTTGTGATTGAATATTTTTAAATAGATTTGTAGTAGTGAAAACAATGCCAAGTGAATTCAGTGAATATATCAAGTATGGTGCCATCTGACACAGTTATTGACGATGGATGACGTTTCAACGCATGGCGACAGCTGATACTACACAGATAATACCAACGAGTGCGGATTAACTGACGCTACAATCAACACAATTGCTGCGCTGCAAACAATAACTAGTCGTGTTGGCAAATTCCGATTGTAACTCCTCGCGGCGCAGACTCAGTCTTGTTCAAGCCCTCTGACCTAACTCGTCAGCGCAGTGTTCCGACCACGGGCCGTTAAGAAAGGGAGAGAAAAACGGGTACGATCTTTCTGATTGAATCGACTCGAACCACAAGCCAAGGGTCAGATGAAAGCTGGTCACCCGAGAATTTGATTAAACCGATAGATTTAACAGCTGAAATGACGAGGTGCGTATATTTTGACTTGTGCTTCGCGGTATGTACCCGATATGTAACAGTCCACGTGTCTCTATGATGGAGCTAACGCATTTTGGAATACATGTGGAAAATCGAAAACAATTCACGAATATTCGCATGTCACTACAATCCACTATACAGAAGAGAATTTTAGCTGAAATTCATGAATTACATGAGTAACCATGGATACAGCGAATGTAGTTATTTGTGACGTTTGCACTCATAATAAGTGATTTTACAATATTCTCTAATTTCATCACGTGACACTATGTAAACAGTCACACGTTGAACCACCTGAAAGTAATTGCAGTAGATGGGAGCGTTTTACATAATTCAATCCAACATACACGACGACCTAAATAACACAATTTGTTTGATACAAGCTTATTACTTCAGGCTGAATTATAAATACTAGTATCATTAAAAAATCGTATATGTGTTATTGCTAGTAACTTGAATATTTTAAGAAATTGAAAACACGCAGTATTGCAAATGTGTAAGCGACGAAATTATAAAGAATGCACCATGTTGTAGAATTTGTTTGTTTTTTTCCTTTTAATGAGCCACCATATTGAAAAAATCAGAAACGCACACAACCCATGATAGCACTGTGGATTCATTTGCCTCGTTGTGACAAACTGTTGCGTCACAAATGGAAAATTATTATAAAATATTTGTTTAATATTCTTCTTTTTTTCGTCTACAGATTTCGGAAAACATCACCCTTCCAAACATACACGCGGGACTATATACATTTCGTGACAATATTAGTGTTTCTGGTATCTTTCAACGCACAAACTGTGTCCGCTCAAGGTGCGGGCGGATATGTGTATAAACAATTTCAAAATCCTGTCAGAGATAGGTTAATTCACGGGCTTTTCTCGTCCAATTTTACATGGGGCGTTGCAACATCGGCGTACCAAATTGAGGGTGCCTGGAACGAGGATCAGAGGGGAGAAACTATTTGGGACACGTTCTCTCACGAACCTGGTAGAATCGTTGACAATGCCAATGGTGACATCGCTTGTAATAGTTATCATAAAATCGACGAAGATGTCGCTTTGCTGAAAGAGCTTCAGGTGAAACATTATCGGTTTTCCATTGCCTGGTCCCGTATTCTCCCTGATGGGACTTTGAATAAAATTAACCAGGCCGGTATTGTTTACTACCGACGCCTCATTAACGCTTTGGTCGAAGCAGAGATTGAGCCAGTTGTTACCTTATTTCATTGGGATCTACCGCAAGCCTTGCAGGACATCGGTGGCTGGAGCAACGAGATTCTAACAGTATATTTCAAAAACTACGCCGAGTTATGTTTCCTTGAGTACGGAGACTGGGTGAAAAGGTGGATAACTTTTAATGAGCCGTCTATCTTCGCCAAAGCTGGTCACGAACATGGCGTCCACGCACCTGGGCTGAAGCACCAAGGAACCACAGTCTACAGAGTGGCACACACAATCATAAAGGCCCATGCCAAAGTGTGGCACACGTACGATAATAAATACAGAGCATCACAGAAAGGGCAGGTCGGAATAACTCTGGTGTCGAGCTGGGCACAACCATCGACAAAATGGCAGGTCGATATCATGGCCGCGGAGAGATACCTTCAATTTGAGTTTGGTTGGTTTGCACACCCACTTATGGTGAACGGCGACTACCCCAGCGTCATGAAAACACAAATACTCGAGAAAAGTATCGGGCAGGGACTGTCGTCATCGCGCCTCCCCAGTTTCACTGAGGAGGAAAAGGTGCTTTTACGTGGTACTGTTGATTTTTTGGGAGTAAATTACTACACGACGAAGCTTATTTCCGCCTGGAGATCCGATGCATGGCCGCCTGGTTACGAGGAAGACCAGGATTTGAAGGCGTGGCACGACGAGTCATGGCCGAAGAGTGGCGCTTCCTGGCAGAAGTGCGTACCGTGGGGTTTCCGTCTCTTATTAAACTGGGTAAAGCACGAATATGGAAATCCTCCCATCTATGTCACTGAAACTGGAGTGGCTGAAAAGTTGAATGACCAAGACGAACCGAAACTAAAAGATGTATGGAGAGTACAGTACTTTGTATCGCACATCAACGAACTGTTGAAAGGTAATTATTAATTCATTATTTAATTAGATATTAGATATGTATCTGTTTGCTTGTTCATTTATTTTGTTTTTTCATATACGAGTTCATTCCCCTGGTTTAAATATTTGTTTAATGTTATCGTCTTTTCGATGTCTATTAAAAACAATTGTGTAAATGATGACGTCACTCTGAATTATAACGTCATTATTTTATCTATTTTTTTTGTCAGCATACAAGCTAGATGGTGTCAATGTGCAGGGTTTCTCGGCGTGGACATTAATGGACAATTTTGAATGGCAAGATGGCTACTCGACACGATTCGGCCTCTACCACGTCGATTTCAAAAGTCCAGCCAGAACGCGAACGGCAAAGTCATCGGCGAAGAAGTACAACGAAATAGTGACGGGCAATGGATTCCCGGTTCCAGTGTCCAAACTCAGATATATACCACAATTTAAACCGGACATGGCGTTTGGTGCCGCACCCCGGGCACCAATGGTACCGGTCTTCCATGACAATGATGAAGGTATACAGCCAGAATTCAGATAATACTGAATAACATCAACAAATTACAGTTTATAACTCATTTCAAAATGCGAACAGACACTATTGGTAAAGGATCGCAAGTTAAAAACAACTTAAAATGGTGCCGTCATAAATGTTATTTTATTTTCATAATACACAATTTAGGGAATAACATTAACAATTCTTGTTGAAGGAAGAGTACAGCGCCACCAGTGTCCTAAATTGAAAAAACAAATGGCATTGCTTGCGCCATACTTTCACCGGGAGAGGTGCTCGTTGATTTCGGTGAGGAATGATTAACACGTACTACTTCCTATAAATTGCATTTCTTCAAAGTTCAAGGTGTTCGGGTAATCATTAGCTTCAATCATACCACTTAGGAGTATTAGTTAATAAATGTCCACATTCATTGTCCAGTCGTTGAATACTAGTAGTACAGCACGCAATACTAGCTTGTTCCTTCACCAGCAAATTAACTATTTTCGGAAAGCCTGTTTTGTGATTTTCCTAATATGTCACCCAGCAAATAATCTTATCATTTTTTTTAAAACATATTTTTGTCTGAGTTATGGTAGAAATGATATATTGGTGTTAAGAAGAGCCTTTCGTGCAATGTATTGTTCACACTGCGCCGAACAGATAGGAAGCCTCTATTTTTATTTCATTTGCTTCTGCACTAAGCAGCAGTTTTCGAATGGTTCCGATACAAATCGCCTCTTGGTGGCGCTATTCCATAGAAATTCAGTTTGTGAGTACAAGTCGATAATGATGTACACACTCTACGGTGAGCAACGGGGTAGTTGTTAAGTGACGAATGCATTACCGACACCCAAAGAGGTTCCTTTTACGCTGTACATTTTGTATTCCATATTCTCAGCTTCTGTGGAACGTTGAACCACGCTTGAACTGCTGCTTAGAAATAAAATAATACTGGGAACGAGGATGGTGTTTTTATAACAACACACAACTGCACTGTGAATGCAAAACACGTCTCACAATTTAAAATAAAATACAAACTGAGTGCACGTGTCGTCTATTGGGATAGCTCAATCTTATTAAAATCCGATGTAGGTATAGACTTCATTTTTTTTAATAATGGTAAATAAAACAGAAGAAAAGATTGATAAATAAACACAAATAACATAAGTTGAGTCTATACCTACATCGGATATTAACACGATTGGAGACAGATTGGATAGAATATAACACGTTATTTGCATATTTACATGAATAATTATGTACAAATATTAATATTTGATGTATGAATTGCGCTAATGCTTTATTTTATTCAGGCAATTTTTCTCAATCCTTGGAACACACAATTCACATTTGTATCACCGATAGAGGGCGATTAGTTTATGATGTCATGATCCTCGCAACAATATACCTAGGGTCTATGTTAAAAACGTACATTTTGTATTATTACAGTTGATGCATTTCATGTATGTATGTATGTGAATAACCATCCTATACTGTATTCCTGTTTGCAACGGATATGGCAAATTAGCGTTCGTTATAATATTAAAATTATATAAATGTAAAATTAAAATACAGATACAGGTAGATGAATTTAGGAAATAATGGCACACACTTCTGTGCCAATACATATCTGACAAATAAAAACAGGGGCTCTGTATTTCCTTTTAACATTCGTGTCGTAACTCTTTGGTAATTTAAACATTTTTAATAAACTGTTATTTTTTCTGAAGTTAACATTGCAACATACGAGTTATTAGAACAACAATCGAATATGTATAAAACATGCATGGGCGTGTGACTGAAATTACGTGGCCAAATAGTTGTGTGAAAAAAGCCTGCCGATACTTTCGTCGCCAAAACTCCACAGTTGTTGTAACATTGGTCGAGTTTATTAAAAACGTCTAGAAATTACAAAGTGTCTAAAAAAAATGACAATCCTTGTTTGTGTTTTTAGCGTTGTCTATAATATCATAATGTCAGATATCTACAACTACAACAACAAGTGCTAAAAAAGTACAATTTCATTTGTTAGGCTACGTCTTGGTACAAGACAGTGTGCCATAATCACCATCAAGGCCATTATTTCCTGTGCCATTTTACTTATCGCCGAGGTAGATTGTATTGCTATGGAAACGAATCATATTGATAATCAGGTATAGATTTTATTTTACATATAATGATAAGTAATCGAAATGCATTGATCTAGTTTGAAATGCGTCTGGACATGACAGATACGTGATGAGCTTAGCAAAATCTCATCAGAGGAATGTCTACTGAAGATACTTCAATTATACTGTACTGCTATTAACAACAAAGATATACATGTAATTGCTGCTATACAGCTTCACTACGACCTGTACCACTGAAGAATGAGCTGACAGTCTAACCATGGCCAAGTGATTGTTCAATTACTTGAATAGGCATATCTGCACAAGTACATTCAGGTGATACGGCCCGCGCCTCATCTTAACAGTTTGTGTGGTCTGCACATTGAGATGGCAATGCAAAATATAATATAAACAAACCAGAAACTAAAAACCAATAACTGTATCCTCCGCTCTTTCTAAAATTGTTGAATGACATGTTCACAACCATTTCATAAAGTTTTAGGTACCAGTATTTTGATTTCTGTAATCAAACAATTTTAATTTGGTGACGACTGGCAAAGTCTTTGATTCTTCATCTTATGAGAAGTTACTTCGGGTCACTATTAACAGCCAACTTGTTTGATCTAACCATATTTCTTCCATTGAAAAAAAAAATCACATTCGTATTATTATATCTGTTATTGAAACAACTCGGGGATAATATTATATCCCTTGCTGGGAGCAATAAGAAATTATATTATCTCCTTCGCTGGGAGCAATAAGAAATTATATTATCTCCCTTGTTGTTAGAAACACTCAGCGATAATATTATATCCATTGCTTAATACGTAGTTTTGTAGTGATTTTCAAAATGTTCGTAATTTTGAGTTAAATTGTGCTATTTTGATTATTATTGCATTTCTACTGGTTAGCAACCGCGGTAAGTCTTTTTTACCAGACATGCTGATTTTTCAGTTTTTCAAATTGTCGTACCATATAAGAAATCCATCCTCTTTATATTAAGGAAACAGGTTCATACTACCCGGATATCTCTGAAGGGGGGGGGGGATATATGTTTCATACCCTTTATTCAAAGCCGCGTTTTCTAAATTACAATATAATCTTTTGATCCATATAATAAAAGTTGAAAGCATTTAAGGCACTAAAAAGAAATTCTCAGTTTACCGTATCAAACGCCACCTCGACGTGCCTCTTCTGTCAGCACAGACTCTTGTATCACTAATAAGTGACTGTCATTGGCGTTGATTCACTATTCACTGTAACAATGAACACAGAAATACCGCATACAAATATTGCGAGTTGTCTCTAGGTTACACTATGTATGTGAAGAGTGACAGTGTTTGTTTCCATGGAAACAAATACCTTGCTACCACACAGTGACGGCCGCGGCGATTTCGAATCGAACTGAAGCCATTACAATCTGGATTCAAAAATAAATACGAAGGGCAGTCTCGATTTACCAAACAGGATATATCCTTGACCAATTTCAGGAAATGAATGTGTTCAGAGTATGAGTAGAAAGGGCTCTTTTAAATTTATGTACTAGAAACAAATGCATTTATACCATAGACACGTATTTTTGACGATGCCTTTAAAAAACAAAAAAACTCTAGTTGAGTTTTTCGTTTGTATTTTCTAAGTGTTTTGGCCTTTCCCCTAAATCGTGTTGCCTACTTGACCATAATAGTCAGTTGCCCGCAATTAAGCATTATTTTATTTCAAAGTCATGTACACAATTTTTAGCCGTGTGTCCAGCAACAATTGGCAATGGCATCATCCACCATAGAACAGTCAGTCTCCAGGCAACAGGCACATGCGCTCCTGCCACGTACAGATTATCCCCGTAACTGGCTATGTAATCATTTTTAGTTATTTGTCTCATTTTAATAGCAACCGCGTGGTGTTCTTCTCATTTGTCGTAGTATTTATATTTACCCATAGTTTAGGATATGAGAACACGTTTCATTGAGACATTCCATTTACGGGGGGGTGTAGCATAACCACGTGTACTTTTAACTCGCACATATAGCCAAACGTAGGCGTAAACGGGTAAGATTTTTTGGACTAAGGTTTGAGAAATAGTCCATTAATTTTCAAAATTGGTATCAAGTGGTCTTATTGTACGACACTCCTGATAAAGAGGGTCATCAAAATAAATCCTCAGTGACCTTCATCTGACGATCACATTATAATGATTTTGGGTGTGTTTCCATGGTTGCAGCTTGGCCTTCTAGTTATGTTTGTGTTTTGTTTGTTTTTAATTGTGTAGTATGGGAAAGGGAACTGTTTTTTATACTATTTTTTAAGGAAAATAATCTAGATTAGGGTCAATTATTTATTTATTTATCAAAAAGCAAACAAATTTCATATTTAAAAAATGGCTGCAAAAACAATTATGCACATCCGAATAGAGCAAAACAAAATACAGCATCTTCATTCAAGATTGTGAGTGGAAAAACACAACTGCTTCACCCTTTCAATTACGTCATCAGTATTACGTAAGGTGCATACCATTTACGATATGCTAAAATCGGGGAAGAACTACGGATAAACACACATTTAAAATATTTCGAAAACATATTTGTTTTATGACAGAGGTTATTTGCCGTAGTTAGTCATTCCGTGTTTTACGATAAGAAATGTCTCACCGATCGTTCGATGGCGTATTTTTTTCAATGTATATACCGGTAGAGTGATTTTCGATCATTTTTGACACGTGCTTCTATTGTGCACAAATATCCGTGACAACATTGCGTGTAAAATTTAAAAATTAATTCACTCTGTTCAGTATTAGTCAACTTGTGTAGACTGTTATGTCCACTGTATTAGAATGTGTGTAGACTGTTATGTCCACTGTATTAGACTGTGTGTAGACTGTTATGCCTACTGTACTAGTCTGTGTGTAGACTGTTAAGCCTACTGTACTAGTCTGTGTGTACACTGTTATGCCCAATGTACTAGA